CCACTAATTTTTAACTTATTTGTAGAGATGGGGTCTCCCTATGTTGCTCAGGCTGGTCTCGAACTCCTAGACTCAAGTAATCCTCACAAAGTGCTAGGATTACAGGTTTGAGCCACAGCACCCAGCCTAGGGGCCATTTTAAACAGCAAAATCACCAATAAGAAGTGCAAAATATGCACACACAAAAAAATGTGGCATTAAACATATCTCGAAAAGGTCACTTGTTTGCAATGACAGTGAAAACAAAAAGGCAGAGCACTGCCTTGAACCTCCACTGGCAAAGTGCACATCTGCTGACTCAAGTATCCGGCAGCTCTGTGCATGCCCACGTCCAGGAATGACCACAAACTAAAACATTAATCATTTTATATAGAGAACAAAAATCTCTGTTGACGTTTTATGTTCAAGTTAACAAGATCTAGAATCAACATTGTCATTAAGAGCAACAAGTATATTCATATTGAAAAAATTTTAATATTGAGGTCAGAAGGAATATACTTTAAGTACCTACTTTAAAGAGATCATTTCAACTCTTTGGTACATGTTAAAACCACCAGAGCTTAAGTTTCAAAATCCTCTGTCCTATCACACCTCATTAGTTGTTAAAAATATAGATTTCCCCTTCCCTTCTCTCTGAACAATTCAAAACTCCAAACTTGGGAATGCAAAGTATACATAAAATCCATACCTAAAAATTTGAAGTTCTCAAGATACCATACTATAAAATTATAAGAAGATATTACAGAGCTCCATTCTTACACATGTATGCAGAGAAAAGATTGGAAAAATGACTACCAAATTTTCAACACTGATGTGTTTTTTTTTTTTTTTGAGACAGAGTCTCACTCTGTCGCCAGGCTAGAGTGCAGTGGCACAATCTTGGCTCACTGCAACCTCTGCCTCTCGGGTTCAAGTGATTCTCGTGCCTCAGCCGCCCAAGTAGATGCAATTACAGGTACACGCCACTACACCCAGCTAATTTTTGTATTTTTAGTAGAGACAAGGTTTCACCACGTCGGCCAGGATGGTCTTGATCTTCTGACCTCATGATCCGCCCACCTCAGCGTCCCAAAGTGCTGGGAACACTAGGTTTTTTTAATAAGTGTTTTTTAACTTTTCTTTTCTTCTTCTTTGTTTTATTAAACAACTGAATGTGTAGGCATTTCATGACTTTTTTTTTTGAAACTGAGTTTCACTCACTCTGTTTTCCAAGCCGGAGTGCTGTGGTGCAATCTCAGCTCACTGCAACCTCTGCCTCCCAGGTTCAAGAAATTCTCCTGCCTCAGCCTCCTGAGTAGCTGTAGTTACACGCATGTTCCACCATGCCCAGCTAATTTTTTGTATTTTTAGTAGAGGCAAGGTTTCACGATGTTGGCCAGGCTGGTCTCAAACTCCTGACCTCAAGTGATCCACCCACCTCAGCCTCCCAAAGTGCTGGGACTACAGGTGTGAGCCACCATACCTGTCCCATTTTATGAGTCTGACGTTCTAAAGATGAAGATATTAATCACTTGGGATTAGTGAATAACACCAATGAGTAATTCAGATTTGTTTTTAACTTTAAATAATTACATTGCTAATTTTGTTGCAGAGAAAACAAATAACCAAAGGCTACTTCACTCAAGGCACAAACTGCCCTATTACTGAAATATAACAGTGAAATTATTGTTTAAATAAAACAAAGTACAACTATTGTTTACTAATACTTTTATATTTAATTTATCTTTATGTTATTTTTAATTTTTTGAGACAGAGTCTTGCTCTGTTGCCCAGGCTGGAGTGCAGTGGTGTCATCTCAGCTCACTGCAACCTCCACCTCCCAGGTTCAAGATATTCTCCTGCCTTAGCCTCCCGAGTAGCTGGGATTACACATGCATGCCACAACGCCTGGCTATTTTTGTATTCTTAGTAGAGACAGCGTTTTACCAGGTTGCCCAGGCTGGTGGTAACTGATACTTTTAAAAGGATCTCTAACATCATGCACTTAAAAATTATCACAAACTATAAGACAAATTCAGAATTAAAGAAACAAATAAAACTAAAACATCAATAAATAAAATGAAAATTTTTGTTCCCTATAATTATTACCAGTCATTACCAGTAGGAATCTGGAATGGTACAATCCATAGCCAATGAAATATTTAGTGAGTTCCCTGATAAAATCTAAAGTTAATATAAAGTAACTTTATATTACATGTCTTAGTTGACAGCAAACAATAAAATGTTTATACGGAGAAACAACTAACAAGATTAAGAAATTCTTTGTATTGGATATGTTGAAAAGTTTATACAACTTTTATATACCCTATTTATATAGAGGAATACAGTTAACATATATAAGAGCTTATTATGCACCTGGCACTAAGCTTAGCACTTTAATCATTTAATATTATTTAAACTTCATAACACCATGAGGCAGGATTACAATTAGCCTTACACTTCACAGATAAAGGCACTAAGTTATAAACATTTCCCTATTTATTTATCCTATTTTAAAAGGAACCACTATGCTTTTGTTCATATTCAAGTATAACATAGTTATGTTTCAATAATTTACTTCCAAAACATAGTTTTATAAATACTTAGGGGCATTACAATATCATTACTTTTTTTTTTTTTCTTTTTGAGATGAAATCTCACTCTGTCACCCAGGCTAGAGTGCAGTGGTGTGATCTCGGTTCACCACAACCTCCAACTCCCAGGTTCAAGAGATTCTCCTGCCTCAGCCTCCCAAGTAGCTGAGATTGCAGGCATCCGCCACCATGCCTAGTTAATTTTTGTATTTTGTTGGACCAGGTTGGTCTCAACCTCAGGTGATCTGCCCACCTCAATCTCTCAAAGTGCTGGGATTACAGGCACTGGGCTCATTTCTTTTAAAGAAGTACTATCTGGATGTCTATGAACTGCTAAAATTAATTGCTTTGAAGAGGAAAGAAGAGACAAAGGTGAAATATAAAGACTCCAACATAATACAGTACAATCATATAGTTTCTTTAGTTCAATTTCTTTCAAAGACAAGCAAGAATGAAACCTCAGAATATATTAGTAGAGTTTTTAATTTTAAAATGTTGGCTATAATGTAGCTGATACTGACCAAGCTCATTAAAACAAGAGTCTATGATCTTCCTTTCCTAAGACACAACCACTAAAATACATTGATCATGTGTTCATTCGACAACCCTGCCCTGAGTTCCTTTTATGTGCACCACAGTATTTCACTGTGGTTTTAGAGAAGACACATAAGACAAGGCTTTCTACCACCCAGTAGCAGTGCAATTTATTAAGTTACTGAATTCCATGGATTGCTTGGTAGTACACAAAATGTGTGACTTGAATTCTTTTAAGAGTGACCAAGATGGTACTTTAGCGGGTAAATTTCAAGACAGAGAAACTGAAATATACCTTAGAAAAATTAGCCTGGAATTAATAAGGATGAACAAGAGCAGGGAGATCAGCTGAAGAGCTTACTGGCCACTGTTTTCATCTATACCAGTAATAGTCCAGAATGAAAATGAAGAATTTAGATTGAGAGAGGAGGAAACTAAGGGCCCAATGGTTTAAAGTAATTATCTCAATGTCACACAGTTAGCTATTTGCTAAGAAAATTAAAAGACAAGATAGTCACTGAGAAAAATAACCAAAATCTGGCAACTGGGTCAATCAATATTGGTGCTATGGGAAAGGAAACCAACCCTAAAGTGAATCTAAGGTCTGAACTTAAATGAGTGTAAACATTAACAAGGAAAAGGGGTTGTTTTTGCATTTTGTTTTAACAGATAAAGATGGCTAATTGCAATGGCTTCCATTTTAAATGTTCCTTTTTTGTTCTCCACAACTTATCAGTTTTATATAATATGTATATATGTATTTGTCCTTGATTTTCTTAATTTATAAATTTCTCTCGTATCAAGCATTGTATAACAGTGGGTACACAGTTCATCAACAACACACTAAGCAAAAATTTTATTCAGAATGGTGTCAAAGTAACAGTAAATGCAAAATAAGAGTAGAAAATATGATCACACATATTCTACATTTTAAGGTCAGTTCATCATCTTGGGAGGGGCAAGGCTGGTTTTAAAAGTATGACTAAGTAATACTTAATCAAGTGTCTATGATCCTCAAAATATCAGTATATAAACTATACCTTATAATTTTTTTTTTTAGACAGTGTCTCATTCTGTTGCCCAGGATAGAGTGCAGTGGTACAATCTTGGCTCACTGCAACCACCGCCTTCTGGGTTCAAGCAATTCTTGTGCCTCAGTCTCCTGAGTAGAATAACTGGGATTATAAGCGTGCATCAACACACCCAGCTAATTTTTTCTATTTCTAGTAGAAGTGGGTTTTCACCATGTTACCCAGGCTGGCCTTGAACTTCTAAACTCAGTCAGTCCATCTGCCTTGGCCTCCCTAAGTGCTAGGATTACAGGGGAGAGCCACCATGCCCAGCCACCTTATAATTATTAATCATTAAATAACCTTTTAAAAAATCAATGATCAATCTAACTTTCATCATTTATGTGCTTCTCACAAAAAAAAGCCATCTTTAATTCTTTTCTTTTTTGATATCATTATATCTTTAAAGTCTGAAGGTAAATGAATCCAATCCATTTTATATCACTCCAATAAAGCATTACCTCTAAGCACCATAAACAAACAATTTTTTAAATTTTGGCATATTATTTAAATAAGAGCTTCAATAAGGTAATTGAAGACTAAAGTCAAAGAAGTATTTTCATGCCTAGCACAATGTTAGGAGCACAGTAGGAAGACAACTTTTTGTTGAATAAATGTCTGAACTTCAGGCATAAATGAAAAGATCTGTACTGTATAGCTGGAGGTAATTATGGAAGCAGCATAGTTTCCATATAGGACAACCTAACAGTCTTCAGGCAATATGAAACAGCATAATACCCACGTTACTGTAAGGCTGACCTAAATTTAAATTCCCACTCTAATAATGTTTTTTCTTCTAAGCATACACTCATTGAATACTCACCAAAAGCCAGGCATTGTTCTTTGCACTGTTTTATCTATCCACCCGTCCATCCATCCATCCATTATCTATCTATCTATTTATTTTTGAGAGGGAGTCTCGCTCTGTCACCAGGCTGGAGTGCAGTGGCACGATCTCGGCTCACTACAACCTCCGCCTCCTGGGTTCAAGCAATTCTCCTGCAGCTATTCTAGGAGTTTGGCATGATTATCCTAATTTTAGAGACGAGAACACCTAGACACACAGAGATTAAGCAATGTGACCAAGAAAACAGATCTAGCAGCAGAGCCAGGATTTTTATCTAAGCACTCTAATTCCAAAGCGTACCCTTAAAAAAAAAAAAAAAAATTGAATGGGTAACATATTTACATTGTTTTTAAAAAGGTATGCGTGAAAAGTCTACTATTTATGTCCTCCATCAACCTAACTCTCACCCCTTCTTTTCCCACCTCTACACCAAGAGTTACCAATGTTATTAGTTGTATATATCCTTCCAAGGTTTTTTGTGTATTTATAGCAAATGCAAGTGTATATTTTTCCTTGTTTAAAAAACCCAAAATGTAGCTCTCTATACATTGATTTCTACACCTTGCTCTTTTTACTTAAAGTATATTAGAGATTCTCCCATATCAATTTTTTTTAGAGAGGGTCTCACTCTGTCATCCAGATTGGAGTGCAGTGGCACAATCGTAGCTCACTGCAGCCTCAAACTCCTGGGCTTAGATGATCCTCTCACCTCAGCCTCCTAAATAGCTGGGACTGTAAGTGCATACCACCATGCCCAGCTAATTTTTGTATTTTGAGTACAGATGGGGTTTTCACCATGTTGCCCAGGTTGGTCTTAAACTTCTGGGCTCAAAAGATCCACCAGCCTTGGCCTCCCAAAGTGCTAGGATTGTATGCGTGAGCCACTACACCCAGCCAGAATTTCATTCTTTTCACAATTATGTTATCATTATATTATATTAATTGGATGGATAATTATTTAACCAATTCCCGAAAAATAGATATTAAGGTTGTTTCTAATGTTTTGCCACTATAAACAAGGTTGTAGGCCAGGCACGGTGGCTCATGCCTGTAATTCCAGCACTTTGGGAGGCCAAGGAAAGCAGTTCACTTGGGATCGGGAGTTCAAGACCAGTCTGGCAAACATGGCAAAACCCAGTCTCTACTAAAATTACATAAATCAGCTGGATGTGGTGGCGGGTGCCTATAACCCCAGCTACTCAGGCCAAAAGAATCACTTGAACCCAGAAGGTGGAGGGTGCAGTGAGCCAAGATAGTACCATGGCACTCCAGCCTGGGCAACACAGCCAGACTCTGTCAAAAAAAAAAAAAAAGTTGTACTTCATGTTATTTTGTACATGTACAAATAAAGCCAGCCAGTAATTTCTACTGAACACAGAACTTCTTCAATAAAAATAAAGCAATCAGGTAATTTCTACTGAACATAGAACTTCTTCAATAAAAAAAGATGTGTATTTGTAATTCTGATATATGCTGGCAAGTTACCCTCCACAGGAGTTTATAAATTTATACTAACACAAACAACACTAAATGCTTACTTAATGATAGGCTCTCCACACCGTGTTTTACATAACTTAAGATTTTTGTTAACTTGATATGTGAAAAAAAATTGTACCTTCAGTGTATTGTTTTTATCTTAATATAAAAGAGGTTAAACAGTATTCATCTATTTAAGAACCACTTGTTCTTCCTTTTCTGTGAACTGTTATGTTCATATTCTTTGCCCATTTTGCTATTAATCTTATCAATTTCTAGAAGTGCTTTGTATCTGGGAGATTAGTACTTTGATTGTAATATGAATCACAAATATTTGTCTTTTTAACTTTGTTTACAATGATTTCTGCCTAGCAAAATTATGTTTACTTTTGTGTAGTTTATCTTTTCATCTATGCCTATTCACATTTTAATCAGAAAGGCTTTCCTGACTCCAAAATAACAAATTTGCTCATGTTTTCTTTAATTTTATCTTTACAGTTTTTACATTTAAATATTTGATTCATTTGGAATTTATCCAAATAGACACATAGAGTGTGGTATTAATCCAACATTCTTATTCTCTGGATGACTCACCCACTAATTCCAAGACCCTTTATTAAATAGTCCTCACTTGACTCTTTTCCCCTCTTGATATAAGATGACTGTTTATGTCTTGGCTTAATATTCTGTTGTATTGGTTGAATGTCTATTTGTAAGGCAATTCTAACTATTCAAGGCTGCAAAATTAAAATATGTTGGCCCGATGTGGTGGCTCACACCTATAGTCCCAGCACTCTTGGAGGCTGAGGCAAGCGGATCACTTTAGGCCATGAGTTTGAGACTGGCCTGACCAACACAGTAAAACCCCATCTCTACTAAAAATATAAAAATTGTAAGCATATCCTAAGAGTAAAAAAATAAATAAATAAAATTAAAATTAAATTTTAAACATAAAAAATATATAAAAATTGGCCAAGCATGGTGGTACATACCTGTAATCCCAGCACTTTGGGAGGCTTAGGCAGGTGAATCACCTGAGGTCTCGAGTTCACCACCAGCCAGGACAACATAGTAAAACCTCATCTCTAAAAATAGAAAAATATTAGCTGGGCATGGTGGCACAGATCTGTAGTCCCAGCTACTCAGGAGTCTGAGGCAGGAGAATTGCTAGAACCCAGGAGGCAGAGATTGCAGTTAGCCAAGATAGCGCCACCTCACTATAGCCTGGGAGACAGTGTGAGATTCCGTCTCAAAAAAAAAAAAAAAAAAAAATTAGCTGGGCGTAGTGGCACACACCTGTAATCCCAGCTACTTGGGAGGCTGAGGCAGGAGAATCTCTTAAACCTGGGAGGCAGAGGTTGCAGTAAGCCAAGACTGCACCACTGCACTCCAGCCTGGGTGACAGAGTGAGACTCCACCTCAAAATGAAAAAGAAAAAAGAAAATTCAGGTTTACAAAACACATGGAGGAAGCAACCATTTACGTTACTTTAAATTTATAATGGTACTACATCGCCCCATGCCTTAAGCAGTCTTCCAAAAGCACAAAATTAAGTAATGTTAATGAATTATTAATTACTTAACAGGTTAGAACTGGGGAGGAGTCTACAGTCGAAATGTTAGCTTATCTGAACTGAAAATAAAACACTTCACGCCTTTAGCCTGGTCTTTCTCCCCACTTACAGTACTAAATTTCTTACTGTTCACTCATTATTAATTTGCTACAAAATTCACCTCACCAGAATCTTTTAACTTGCCTCTTAAAATAAGAGAATATTCCTCCTCTTCCTGGATTCCTTATTTCTATCAGCTAACGATTCCACCTAGGATCATACCTGGCTCTTCCCTTTACATTTACTATTTACTTCCATCTGGTTACCAAAGCCTGTCCGTTCTTTCTGCCTAAGTCTCTCCATTATCTACCTGCTCCTTTCTTGCTTTAAAGGACTATCATCACAGCCTAATTTCCTTACCTCCAATTTCTCTCCCTTTCAACTTTTCCTTTTTAAGTCCACGGTAATTCCCATTACAAACTATCAGTGGATAGATATTCACCAAATTAAATTCAAGATCCTTAATTTATTTCTATAATTTGACCTCAATTTTGCCTAACTTTCCTGCACTATTCACAGACATCTCAGTTACATGGACTACTCTTCCCTTAGTAAGCCTCAAACTTGCCTGTTGCCATCTGAGCTGCTTTACCTATAAAGCCTTCTTCATTCTTTCCTCCTTGAAATACTATATATATCCTTCCAGCTAATGTGCTATCTTTCTTACAAATATTCACCTACAATCCACACTTCATCCCAAATGGTTATACTATTTCTACACAGCACTCGTTTATACATCCTGTAACACTTAGCATATTTTAATTGCATTTCTATTACTTGTGCATTTGTTTTCTATTCTCTACTAGATCTTTAAATGATATACATCATATTGTACTCAAAAGCTTGTCATGCATTTTATTTACTTTTATTATTATTATTTTTTAGGCAGTCTTGCTCTGTCACCCAGGCTGGAGTGCAGTTGCATGATCTTGGCTCACTGCAACCTCTGCCTCCTGGGTTCAAGCAATTCTCCTGCCTCAGCCGCCTGAGTAGCTGAGAATACAGGCACACACCACCACACCCAGCTAATTTTTCTATTTTTTTTAGTAGACATGGGTTTCACTATGTTGGCCAGGCTGGTCTTGAACTCCTGACCTCGTAATCTGCCTGCCTCTGCTTCACAAAGTGCTGTGATTACAGGTGTGAGCCACCGTACCCGGCCTGGTCATACGTTTTAAAAACTCATTTACAAATACCTTATGACCGCATCGACTTCGTAAAATGAAACACAACTGTGCTTAAAAAGCAAATTTCTGATTTACAGTAGCTTTGAAGGTCAAAAAAAAAAGAAGAAAATAATTAAATAAAAATAAATTAAATTCTGTTCTCATTCCTTAAAATTAAAGATGTTCTTTTTCCTAAAGAAATAAACAAGTAGGTCAAGTGTGGTGGCTCATGCCTATAATCCCAGCACTATGGAAGGCCAAGCCAGGTAGATAACCTGAGGGCAGGAGTTTAAAACTAGCCTGGCCAACATGGTGAAACCCCATCTCTACTAAAAATGCAAAAAATTAGCAGGCCATGTTGGCAGGCATCTGTAATCCCAACTACTTAGGAGGCTGAGGCAAGAGAATCACTTGAACCTGGGAGGTGGAGGCTGCAGTGAGCCGAGATCATGCCACTGCACTCCATCCAGCCTGGGCAACAAAAGCGAAACTCTGTCTCAAAATAATAATAATAATAATAATAATAATGATGATGATGAAGTAGAAGCTGGACAGTGTAGCTCATGCCTGTAATCCCAGCACTTTGTAACCCCCACACTGGGGTGGGCACATCACTTGAGGCCATGAGTTCTAGACCAGCCTGGTCAACATGGCAAAACCCCATCTCTACTAAACACACAAAAATTAGCCGGGCATGGTGGCACATGCCTGTAATCCTAGCTACTCTGGAGGTTGAGGCAGGAGAATTGCTTGAACCCAGGAGGCAGAGGTTACCATGAGCCGAGATCATGCCACTGCACTCCAGCCTGAGAGACACAGCAAAGCCCTGTCCCCTAAAAGTAAAAAATAAATTAAAAGAAACAAATAGGCTGGGTGCAGTGGCTCACGCCTGCAATCCCAGCACTTTGGGAGGTCATGGCAGGTAGACCACCTGAGGTCAAGAGTTCAAGACCATGGCCATCATAGTGAAACCTATCTCCACTAAAAACACAAAAATTAGCCAGGTGTGGTGGTACATGCCTGCCATCTCAGCTACTCGGGAGGCTGAGGCAGGAGAATCATTTGAACCTGAAAGGCAGACACTGCAGGAAGCCAAGATGGCACCACTGCACTCCAGCCCGGGCAACAGAGTGAGATTCTATCTCAAGAAAAAAAAAAGAAAATAAAGACCAAATTGATACATATGTTCATTACACTATTACTTACAACAAAATCTGGAAATAAATTCCAAAAATAGAATACTTAAATAAATTCTGGTACATCTAAATGATGAAATGTTAATTATCATTAACAATATTCCTAAAACTTTTAAACATGGGAAAATGCTAAATTATTATTGGGGGAAAAAAGTTTGAGATACAAGAACACACTCCCAGTTTGTAACCAGAAACATATATGAATATAGAAAATGTCTCAAGTAACAATAGTATTTACCTATGCAAGATGGCTATAGTTTTTACTTTCCTATGTGTTACAAATTCTCTACCAAGAACACGTAATACTTTTATGATAGAAAACAATATGATAAACTAAAAATGTTATTTCAGAACAGTATGACACCTAGCAAAGGAATAAAATGAGAAGAAACTTAGATATGAATAAAAAATTAGTTAAGATATTTTCAAATAATTTGTGAAAAGCCCATTACTAAAGGATTCCAGAATGTTTTATGGCCAAGAAAGGCTAAACCAAAATTGTGCCATGCTAGAAATGAAGACAAAAGAGTAAATCGGCAGGGCATGGTGGCTCATGCCTGTAATCCCAACACTTTGGGAAGCCCAAGGTGGGCAGATCACCTGAGGTCGAGAGTTCAAGACCAGCCTGACCAACATAGAGAAACCCCATCTCTACTAAAAATACAAAATTAGCCGGGCATGGTGGCACATGCCTGTAATCCCAGCTACTCTGGAGGCTGAAGCAGGAGAATCATTTGAACCTGGGAGGCGGAGTGCAGTAAACAGATCATGCCGCTGCACTCCAGCCTGGACAACAAAAGTGAAACTCCATCTCAACAACAACAAAAAAGAGTAAATCTAGGCAAATAAAACATTATGATTTAAAGACTAAGCCACCAAACTTCAAGACATTTCCCTTAAAAAAAAAAAAAAATTCCAGGAGAGAGATCCAAGATGGCCGATTACTAGCAGCTCAGGATTGTAGCTCCCAGTGAAAGCACAGAGAATGAGAAGAAGCCACACTTTCAGACAAATTTTTGTTGCTCGTGGACCAGGAGATTCCCAATGGAGGAGCCCCATGGGTCGCCAGTGCGACTCTTGTGGCCAGCGCGGCGGTTCTCAGTGCAGGGTAAACGGGACTGGGTCCCCTTTTGGTCGACGTTTGGAGCTCCGGGAAGGCAAAGTCGCCCATTCAGCTGATTGAAAAAGGGACTCGAGAGAGACGCCAGAACGGAGATTCCTAGGCAGAAAAGAACCATGAATCTTAATGCCGCTGTTTTAGCCGGCACAGTGGGTTGCTCAGATTCTGGCACTGGGAATCAACAAATTGGATGTCCACTCAGAGACCTAATTTGAAAGTCGGTAATTACAAAGACGACAGGTGGATAAATTTACAATGATGGGAAGAAACCAGCATAAAAAGGCTGAGAACACCCAAAATCAGAATGCCTCTCCCTCTACAGGGGATCACAGTTCCTCATCAACAAGGGAACAAGGCCTGATGGAGAATGAGTGTGTTCCATTAACAGAATTAGGCTTCAGAAGGTGGATAATAAGAAACTTCTGTGAGTTATAAGAACATGTTCTAGCCCAATGGAAAGAAACTAAGAACTTGAAAAAGGTCTGATGAAATCCTAATGAGAATAGACAATTTAGAGAGGAATATAAGCAAATTAATGGAACTGAATAATTCAATACAAGAACGCAGCAAAGTATGCACAGGTTTTAACAGTCGATTTAATCAAGCAAAAGAAAGGATATCAGAGGTCAAAGACCAACTTAATGAAATGAAACGAGAAGAGAAGATTAGAGAAGAGAGTACAAAGGAATGAGCAAAGTCTCCAAGACATAAGGGACTATGTGAAAAGACCTAATTTACGTTTGATAGGTGTACCTGAATGTCATGAAGAGAATGAATCCAAGCTGGAAAATATTGTTCAGGATATTCAGGAAAAC